GGGGATATGAACTTTAGACTTGAACTTTCCTGTGGCAGGAAATAACTGAAAAGATACCTCCTGTAGCTTGCAAACATTTTATTGTTTAAAGCTTAAAGTTAGTAACTTTATTCAAGAAAGAAAACCAAAACCTCTAGGTACACAATATATAGATAATATCTCTTGAGAATAAGTCTTAATACACTCCCATTTTAAAGAAAAACGAAATTCTCCTTAATGTCCCGTCAGCGGAGATCTAAATATGGTGCTGTTTGGTTCATCAGGACCAAATAAGGAATACGACCTCACTTCGGCGTCAGAAAGCTTACTCTCCTCTTTCAGTTGAGACAACAGATCCAAACCGGAAAAACTGGAATATGTGTTGAACTTAACCTGTCGATTGTCCTGTTTATCCAGGTCTTTGACCTTGGTGAATTCCACTGACGGAGGCGTTGTCTTGAATTCGCAAGGTGCTACGCTCTTCTCGGGATTTTGATTCATGAACTGATTCTTTTTGAATGACTGGCTGTTATAAACTTGATTGTGCAGTTGGTTAAATGGCGGCTCTAGCTTAACTTTCGCGCAAACAACGTCGTTATTTAATCGAGTCTCTTTTGATCCCGTCTTTGATTCCGGTTTCCCAGGGTTCCATTTGGGTTCGACATACTCCGGTACTTTCCATACTGAAGGGGGTGGGCTCGGGGGTTCACTTTCGCTCCCCTCCGATTGCGATCGTTGTCTGGAGAGATATTGCATTGTCAATACCGGAGAACCAGGAACTTTAAGAGGTGATTTAGACACTGCTGAAGAATCAAGCTTTCTGGTTGGCTTTGAAGAGCTAACTTTTGTTTTCCCGGAATCTACTCTTTGGAGAAGCGAGTTCTGTGTAGGAAACAACAAGTTAAAAAAAGTGAGTTTGTCAACCATGCTGCATTTTTTTAAGAACAAGAGTCGACGAGAGTGTACACGTTGACTCAATACTGCACTAACATTACAATAGATTTCACATCTGGGCCGGGTTGTTCAAAGCCCGATCAAGCTAACCCAGGATTAGCGAGAATTTTGATTTCATGCAGTTTTGCAACTTTTCGATGAGGTTTTCTGTATATACATTTGTATTGCTTGTCCTTCAGTTTTGAGTTCAAGTAATCTCAAACTACACAAAACATAAGCAGTGAAAAATATTTTTATGCAAGAAATATTAATACTTAAGTTAACTTTTATTCCTGGGTTAGGGTTAACCGGCTTTCGAAAAACTCGGCGCTATATGCCAGTTTCTCGGCCTATTGTTTTACACATAGGGCGCTTTCAATTCGATGCAAATTCCCCTTGGAAATTCGGGAAAATTTCCAGTGACGAATGGAAAAGCATTTTCCGGAATTTCAGGAAAAAAGGAAAACCTTGCAAGGTATACCGACATTAGACTGCGAGCAATCTCTCTTTTCCTCGAAAACCGTGGGGAAGAACGCAAAACAAGTAAGCATGCGAGCGTGACTGTGAGCGTGACGTACGAGCGGCGATGCCGCGAGCCGCTAGTAGCGAGGGCGTCGGAAGACGAGGCGGCATCGTTGCTCGCACGTCAAGCTTACAGTCCCGCTCGCACGCTCTCTTGTTTTGCGTTCTTCCCCACGGATTTTCGAGGAAAAGAGAGACTGCTCGCAGTCTATACATTTTCGGAACTTTCCTAACGGGAATTTCCGTTCCACTTGACGTTCCCTCCGGAATTTTCTGTTGAAAGGTTCGCTTTTCGGAAAATCAACAATTTCCGGATTACCGTATCTGGTTGGATGGTACCCGAAATCACGTGACAAATTGGCCACGACTGTTCCAGGCTACGGCATCTTGCCGAACAGTGAAGTGACCACACTGACAGCTATGAAACTACTGCCTAAAGCAAAGCAAATTTTACCAGGGCAAGCGGTGGGTGAGCTGTAAACTTACATGTATACCTTTTCAACAGCTCGTTCTAATTGCATTTTATTTGACAAAAACGTGCATTATACTGTGACAAAACACTCCGGACATTTGAGAACACTCGAAAAATGTAGAAAACACGAGCCGTAGGCGAGTGTTTTCTACATTTCACTCGTGTTCTCAAATGCCCGTCCTGTTTTATTCCAGTGTAATACACGGCTTAGGCTTCTTTATTTGCTAAATAAACCATCGGAGAGTTGAAGCTTACCTTATCGGCTTGCTTAAGATTCTCTCGCATTTCTTTTTGTCTTTGTTCCTTGTAAACCTTCAGTCTTAGTTCTTCTCTCTAGTTCATTGAAGAGCAGGTGTTACACATAAGACTGTCAAGCTCACCATATGTAGAATGTAAATAAATGCATTACTACGCATTTTAGTCCCAAACTCGAAATAAAAGCTTAAATTCTCCTCACAAATTGTCATACATTTCCCTGAATGTTGGATCTGACAACTGCTTGGCACATCAAAACAGTAAAATCTATAACATGATTTATTAAATGCAAATTACATGTAAATGTTCTTAGTGACCTGAACAAGATAAACCAAATTCTGTACTGTGATTGGCAGCTAGGCCAGGTTGGGCTAACTTGCCTTCTCATGATTGCTTGTGTGTCCCACAAGAGCAAAATGACCTTCGCTGGCCAAGCTGAATTGGTGAATTCATTCCTTTTTTTGCATGATTATGAACATAAACTGCCTCTCAGTCCATAGATCTAAAAAAAAAAAAAGCTTTGGTAATATCCAGTTATTTCGACTACACATTTGGTCAAAGCCTGCAGTACAGGCACTAATTTGGAATGGAATGCCTGATAGACCAGGTTTTCGATGCCGTCATCTTGGATTGAAATTGATGCTAGACCAGTAGAGGGTTGGGTAATTTTCCATCACCCTAACCCTCCACAGTTACCAAATCCAAGATGGCAGCTTACTACGAAAATGTGCACTCACATGCCAATAATACATCAGTCTGTAAACTGCAGGCTAACTTGGTCAATAATTCATACATCAAGTACAACACAGAAATATTGCAAGGAGTAATATATTGTGCATACCTCCCTCTCCTCTCTTTCTTGTTCTTTTCTCTTCAGTCGCTCCTCCTTTTTCTTGACTTTTCTTTCTTTCTTTTCTTCTTGCTTGCGTTCCTGAATAAACAGATGAAAATTGGCCTGATAATTAAATTGATCGTTAGTTATTGTTATTACAGTAGCATGACACACTGGGCTTTTGTGGTTAATGTGCAATGCTCTCGATTATACCAAGAAACCCAAGTCAGGGCTTGAAAAAAACTTGAATTTCAGCTTCCCCGTTTGGACAAGCAGCTCTCAAATTTTGCTTGCCCAGGGCAAGTCCTACTAAGTTTACATTTTTTAAAGAAGTTGGCGAACGATATGCATGTGCTTGCCCATTGGGCAAGTGAGATTGAAAAGTTACTTGCCCAGCAGGCAAATCTACTTGTCCTGAAAGACCAGACGGTACTTTTTTCGAGCCCTGCAAGTGCGAACTCCGTATGCTGTATTGAAGACTCACTCAGCCCCTAGAATAATCTTCCACTGCTCCACTACATTACTGAGCTATGAGTTCATATAGGAAAACACCGCAACATGCAGAACATGGTTTAATTTGTCAACACAAAGTGAACACATAAATGAACAAGAAAATGATTATCAAACCATGTAACACTATGATACCAAATTGCTAATGGAAATTTAATCCGGTAATGAAACTGAACCACATGGAGAAACTAAACAATGCCAATTTTCCAATTTTATTAGGTATTGTACTTTGTTGAGAATTGAGAATTCTTGAGAATACTCTCTCTGTTCATTTTTGAGAATGAACAGGTCTTCTTAAAGATTCTCGACAGGAAAAAAAGATTCCAGGATTCTAATTTGGCCCGAAGCCCACATTTGCTTAGCACTGTTAGCATAAAAAATGATAATTACCTTTCATACCTCTGCTAACAATGTCAAACAAATATGTCCACCTTACAAAAGACAATAAAATAATGGCTGTACCAATATTAAAACGTTGTTATGGACAGGTAATAAAGTTTTGTTCCCAGTTTGCAAGACAGAAATTTTTAGCTTCAAGAGAGAAATGAACAGTCGACAAGCAATAAAATAAATTATTTTTTTTCTCCAGCTTCTTAGCAGACCAGAATTTTAAATCCTTGAATCTGATTGGCTAATCACATGTGCTTCAGCGGTCTGGTTTTCCAATTTGGACCCCAAGTATGAACTGCTCCCAAATTTCCAACTCTGGCAACTTTTCAAGCATTTTGTTACACGAAAAAAAGAAAAGAAAGAAAAAAAAAAAAAAAAAAATATATAAAGTCAGCCGTATGAGCCCTACAAATTCTGCACACAGTAATGCTTTGTGTGCCTGAAAGTCAAACACACAGGTTTGCCAGATTTGAAATGAACAGCTAAGTTAATTACAATTCAACACAATCGCAGCTTTCAAAGCGATACCATACAGAAAGAAATACCGGCCTTGGTCAGCAAATTACATGGTATTTTGACATGCACAGAAAAAAAAGTATGTATGCTCAACATTCACTGCATAGCATTTCAATGTGTACTGTCAATGTTTATCTTCCAATGCCTTATCATATGTCATATATTGATGGGTACATAAGTACATGTAAGTCGAATTACAAACTGGTGAGTAACGAGTAAGAATGTACAGCGACATCACACACAAAAACGCACATACATGTACATGTAGTTACTAAGAAATTTATTACCCAGTGTTTTTCTTTTGAATTGTGGTTTGTCTTGTTCATAGTCACCAGAACTTCTTTAAAGATGCAGGTGATAAATCTGTGCCTTGCAAGCTTTCAGATCACCACAAATTACATTTTATAAAATGTACATACAGGTACATTGTATAGGACGTTGTCCACCGGGTCCTCCCCTGTGATACCCTTTATTTCACGGTATAACCTTCTTTTCTGAATCAACAACCAGCTTTGTTGCATTTACTTTTGATAAAGCAAAGGTGTATTCAAACTAGGATTCTAGCAAAATGGCTCATGCATTCCAGTCAATGTTGAAAGCTAAACAACAGAATGCAAGGCCATTTTCAACAATCCAACAAATGAGCCAGCTTGTTTTACTTGTTTGTTCCTTGGTTAAAACAAAAAGACCAGCTTGTTTGACTCATTTGTTTTCCTCCTGTCAAACTGACTCTGACACATTTATCTAGTTGATATGTCTTTACACAAACACTCCAGTTTGCTTATGGCTACTTCCACTCAGGTTTGCTTGCAATTAGTTCATTCCAGTTTGTTCCCAGTTAAGGTGGCACTACATTACATGTATACTTAAGACACAAAAATTAGTGCTCATTCTTTAATCCACTGCCGAGCCAGGTGAGCCACTAAAAACATATTAAGCACGAGACTTAATGTGCATATACATCATTCCTCACTCTTTAATCCACTGCCAAGCCAGACGAGCCAAAAAGTCACTGAGTACAAAGACCCATGACTCAACTGCATACAAGTAATTTCTCATTCTATGCGTCAAACGAGAACACCTTCTCTACGATTATAATAGAATTGTCAGTGGTGCTTAGATCATAAAGTCATCAATACCCTCTTAATCTTGTCAGCTGCAGCAAAAATGACGGAGGCGGTATTTTAAATTTCTTTTTGATGAACAGAAAATAATATGATATTTTAGATATATCTATTAAGTTTTATTGAAGCAAACTTTTCTAAACAATATAAATGTATAATATAGCCTTCCCACACAATCGAAGACACAAACAAAGTGCAAGTAGATATAAATTTACAGCAAGCCATCATTGTGCTTGTCTGAAGCTCACAAAAGCATTACTACAAGAATACATACAATAGGAAAATGCTTTAATTAACACCTTAAAAGCACTCAGGCAAAAAAGGACAACAGATATTTAAATAAAATATTTTAACCGACATCATGAGAAATGCATATGTTTTTTTTTTACTAAGAAACCATTATCTGTTTGTAATTTTCCATAGATTTTACTCACCAATTCAAGTTGTTTGGCCAAATCGAGTTTTTTCTGGTCATCCTCTTTTCTCTTTCGGCTGTCTGTAGCTCTTGCAGTCATCTGCTGAAAAAGGATTTTGACCCATAAAAATAGCATGAAACAGCTGGAAGGATCTAGTGTTATGAGGACAAAGAGCTGGAAAAATTTCAATATGTGGTTTCAAATTACAGCTGCCGGGGATGCTAAAAAAAGATGGTGGCCACTTTAGATCCTCTAGAACTCAGAGCACTGTTCTTTACCGCCAAATAAAGAAGGAGACATAACACACAAAAAGCAGTAACAAAATTTTATCGCAAAACTCCAGATGTAATGATCAGGCAACGATTTGTTTTCCTGAAATTATTCGTCCTGGGAATGCAAATTTCAAGCCAAAATGACAATGTAAAGCGGAGTACAGCTTGAAACTGGTAGGAATTATTTTTAATAAAGTGCTGTTCCTATGCTGATCACAAAAATTAAAAAAAAATACGATATCCCGTTGATACTTCTAAATGTTGCTTTGCTTGCTAAATCGATACTCTTAACGTTAAGCTTATAACGAGAAGTAAAACAAAAAAAGACAGGTTTGACTGTGCATGTATATATTTGTTATTAATACGATGGAAATACTGTAAGACGAGAAGACGAATTGACCAATATAGCAAAATCCCCAGCCCTTTTATTAAAGCAAATAGATGTTATTAACAGAATAGATGCTACTGCTAGCAAGTATTGGTGGCTTGTAGGCGACTGTGTTTGGGCCTGTGTAAGAAAGGTAAGAAACACTGTTGTAACGTAACAAGTCGTATGGCAATACCAGTCCAAAAGCAGGGGATTTTCTGGGATTATACGTAAACGAGAACATTTCTATTTCAATACCTGAGTCTGTTGTGTTGCTGGTTTCCGCTTTTTGACAAGGGACGCTTGTTCACGCTCGCGATCTTTCAGTTTGCGACTGACGCGTTTGTCGACTTCTTTCATGTTGACCTACAACACCACGCACAAAACCCGCTTAGAAAATCCACAACGTTGATATGGGCGCTTTTATAGCCCGCTCTTTACACTTACAAACAAAAAACACTGGTCAAATGAAAGACTGTTTAATCAGGATGGGTATTACAGCGAAAATATTTCAGCCTACCTGGTTTGAATTTTCCGACTTGGTCGCCCGTTTCGTGAGATGAGTCGCTGTAAGGCTTATGACGATGGCGGAAAATATAACGCTCTCCACGGACTGTGGATTCAAAGCACAGATTATTTTAGACAAAAGAGGTTCTCGCCAGGGTAAAATTAATCTAAGAAGAAGTAGTCATGGGCACTTTAGGCTCGAACATAACGCAAGAAGTGCCCGCGACTGTGATCAAACGCGTGTCTTCAGTGTAATACCTGAGTTATGAGTGGAACAACAACGCATCCCACGACAGATCCAAAGACACAAAACACAGAGTACTGGTCGAAGAACCCTCTGCCAACCGCCATGACGGCGCTCCAACGCTGTGGATGATTCAAAATCAAGTGGTCAGATAAACAGTAAACAATGCGTACGTAGCTGAAATTCGAAGACGTGATCAAAAGGACGTCCGATCACAAACGAAAACAGTCGATTGAAAATGTTCGTGCCTTTAGACTCCAAAATTGCCCGCAAATGCGTTAAAAACCTATCATGTGGTAAACATTCACTTATTATTACATTAAAATGATCACAAATTTGACTCACTTCGAGATTTACCAACGTAAACCAACTTCCGTACTTTCCTTTCCAAACTGAAACATGTAAGACATGTAAAATGGAGTGCTATGGCGCATAAATTAGTCTTTGTGACGTCACATCAGGTGACGCAGACCCTGACAGTTGGCGCGCGCAAAAAATGTTCCGGAATAAATTTTCCCGCCAGTTGCCGGGCAACAAATCCCTTCAAAAAAACTGTTTCATCGATCTTGCTATAATTTAAGCCATACAACATTGATGAATTTTGATATGTTACGAGAATGGTTAAAATCGAGACACTTTTCAGCTATTTTTCGAATAAAAGTGTAGTTTTTTCACTTGAGAGTTGTGTTACCAGTGTGTGTTGACTGTGTTACATTGAACGGATGATGTCACCAGTCACAAGTTCGCCAACAACTACATATCCATCGTGGCGCAATTTTACGACACGAATTTGCATCTGCAGAAAGAGTGAACCACAGCTCTCAGCAAGATTTCCACTGCTGCGTTATTTTACGTCACGTTAACAGTCGGGAAGTTTAATTAATGGCTTGCCGTGCGTAAAATCAGAAAAAAAAATTGCATGGAAAGCTTCCGTTGCGGAAAAAGTAAAATAAGCTTTTGTTTCAACTCTTTCCGCAGACGCATAAAAACCCCACAGTCTCTCAGCGAATTGCTCCTTGTTATTTAGTCTACAGTTTAGAGCAAGAGGTTTGAAATTTCCGAAATTTCCGAATTTATGTCCAGCCTCGTTCCCAAGTGAGGTAAAGGGTCCTCTGAACCAGGTCGGGATACGAGCTGTTAAAAACTCGCAGTTGTAAATTTAATTCAGCGAAGAGGCTGCCATTAACTACAAGTACAAATTTCATATCATATTATTATGACAAGTCTTTAAATACGGCGATTCAAGACTGTCTACCTTCACTTAATCCATGATTGGTGAATTCTTTCGAAGCCTACACTATCGTGAATTTACTTCAGAAAAGAATGACAGTAAAAGAAAATAATAGTTAATAACACAGCGGAAAAACGTAGAATGTCACGCCATCGATTAGAAAGGCGCCAAAAGATGATCTAGAGAAACGCCCACGGCATCATGACGTGGTGTTTCTTTACTGCTTACAGTCAGCATGACAGCCGTGCGTGCGAGTGACTTGCGTGTCTCTTCCGTTCCACCATTCAAGGGAAACGATAAAAATCGAGTTTTGGATAAAACCGAAAAGAACTGAATATAAGCCAAAATAGTGATTCTCTACCTCCTCCTCTCCCCCTCCCCCACCCCCTCCCCGAGGCTGCTCTTAATCTCCGATATACTCGGACACGAATCGACATCGACTCACCGGAAGTAGAGGCGCGCTTTAGTCGGGCGTGAAAGGGGGCTTGTCAATGGCATGCTCGATCTTTCTCACCGGAAGTCGAATCGCGCGAGACATAAAATGAACGTCACAGACCTCACTTTTCAAAATTCCCCAACTTTTCCTTTATAAAACTATAATTTCCCTGATCAAATAAAGACAAAATTTCAATTATAGCAGCGGCCACCAGCCTTCCCCTAAAACACTGAAACTTCGAGGGGCACACGGCAAAAATATTTTCGCTCATGTCGAGCAAGACTGAGGCCATTGCTCGGGGTCTGATAGCGCGTTCTCATTTGTACTGAGTCGTCGTCGTCGTCTGCACTTAACCAAGTTTAAGACGGATTCCTCTCAAAGTTCGAGCAATAAGACTAATAATCCACTCACAGCACGGTAACTTTTTGCATGCTGTTTAAAACATCTCACCGTAATTCATTTCTCTAGGTGACCCCGCGATTAAATCAGATTAAATTCTCAAGCATTCTCGAAAAAGTTAATGTCAAACCTCGTAAGAATGCTTAACGTTATTGTGTTTTAATTTCAACTACATGTAACGCCAAACGTCCGTTTCAATGCAAATATGAATAACTTCAAGTTCAATTTTCTCTCGCGGGGTCAGCTTCTTCTTACCTTCATTCAAAATATTACCGTGCGATGCTTTTTTGGTAACTTTATTTTTGCCATTATTGCTCGAATGGTCTTCGGAAATCATCTTAATTAAATTCTTAGCATTCGCCTCTGGGTTGGGTTCTTATTCTCGCAGACCTTTAACCGCTAAGCACTTTACCAAGTTGTAAAATGAGGTTCGGTGAGAAAAAGGTGTCTTGTTCGAGAACACGCCACACGGATGATTGTCTGGTTAAAACCCTGGATCTCTGGTTCCAGATTCCTAAGCCAGTTCGGAGTTGCTTTTGACCTCTGTTTCAAAACGAGTCCTGGTGCATTTTTCATATGGAACGAGTTTGATTTGCCAGACAATGAACATGCAGGAAAAAGTCAATTTTAATTTCAATGTGAAAGGCTCCGCACCAAGACTCGTTTTGAAACAGAGGTAACAGTAACTCGAATGTGGCTTATTTGAGTTTGCTGTTTACCACACTACACCAGGCAATTAACATTTTCATTCCATTTATTAGTTCAAATACTAGTGAATACATTTTGATTGCTTAAGAGAAAGTCAATCTCCACTTGAACTTCTTGAGCTCAAGTTTGAAAACCCTATTTCTAATAAAAGTTTTCAGAAAAAATGCACTAACTAGCTGAGAATATATAATAAACCTGTGTGTTGGTTATTCTTATTCGTGGTGAAATAAAATACATTAGCCAAGTCAATTGTCCAGAAAAACACTCGGGCAATTTTCAAAGCTTTCGGATCTTGCCTGTATACTCGGAACAAATTGATTGTTTCACTTAAATACTAAACACGTTAATAAAACGTATCGAATTAAAAAATTCAAAATCATATTTTTGTACAAAAATATAAACGCGAGCAATAAGTTGTCCCGATATACATCCAGTCGTCATGTGTCCAGATCTTTTGGTCAGCGGCTGGTCAATTCTGCTATTAAGCAACGCCACAAAAGGTTTCGAATAAAATTAAAAAAAAAAAACCAAACAATTCATGGTAGAGTTTATTAGAGTTATGGTGTCGACAATTCTATCTCGCAGTCTCCACTGGCTCCATGTGAGGAAATTAAAAAGAAAAATGTCATATTTCTGAGGTCACTATCTACTTATCGTAGATACAATCTACTTGGAACGATTGCACTAAAAGAGAAAACAAACGCCATGGAAATAAAAGCGACTCAACTACCGCTAGCTGCTCATCTGTCATGTCGCCTGGGAATGATTTTGTTTTTTCAAAACAAAGTGACCAGGTGATATAATTCGGAAAAAGCCAGCTTTGGTTTCAAATCTGAACGATGCACCTTCGGACGTGGATCGTTTGGATAGAGAAAAAACGAAATATTTTTCCCCATCGCAAAAATCTAGATTTAACTTGGTTAAAAGGAACGCTATGCAAGGGTCGTTGCGTTCAAACTCCTTCCCAGGCTCTCTCTTCTTCTACGGGGCTGGAGGAACAGAAACCCTGGGAACGAGGTTTCGTTGTGTGACAACATGGTTCAACGTGACACATCATTCAAGTTCTTCGGTCACAAAACTCCTCTTAATCGACACGTTTGGATACATACACCGCAATTCTCGGACAAGCTCCTTAGACAACCGTGAGCAGAAAGAAACATCGAGTAGCTTCAAATGTTTGCACTGTTTTAACAACCTGCGAAAACCATAAAAACAGTGTTAATACTTTCGACCCTAAGACTGGACAATAATTCATTCCGCTGATATGTCACATGGCTATATCAAAATTTTGCGTATCTGACTGGTTTTACAGGTTTTGAAATGCAAGCATAATATGAAACATTTTCGACAAAAATTAATATTCCATGACCCGATATCATCTTTGAACGCAAAACCTCGAGAACAATTTTAAATTTTTTTAGGTTTCCTATGGCTCCTGCGTATCCGTGTATCCTTGTCAGGCATGCAGGTTTTAACAACCAGAAAACTGATCACAAAGAAATTAGGCCAAGTCAATTTAAGTCAGTTTAAGTCAATGTCAAGTCGATGTCAATGTCAAATTTTTAGTCAATATCGATAAATGTAAAGTCATATCAATGTGGCAAGAAGCCAATGTCAAGTGAAGTCAATGTCGAGTGTCGAAGAAAATTGAACTCAAGATTATGTCACGTCTAGTCAAATAAAGTCACTTTTTATTTAAGTCTTGAGTGTCAACTTAACGTAGCAGACCGACCCTGACTCAAGCCAAGCCAATCAGTTCAAACTAAAATGTAAGTCAATTTTTCACACCTCCTTTATTCTGCACTAAAAGTTGTTAAACTCTGGCTGTATGGATACCAATCGTTCGCAAACAAGTTTTCAAGCAGTCTTTATTCAGTCAATGATGTTTATTAGAAAAGATATTACCTCCTGATCGCGTCTTCATGAACTAGACTGGTGCCAAGTACATCTACTTGTTCTATATCAGGGCAGTTATCAGCTAAAGCATCGATAACACTATCACTGACAGACCTACAAACGAGAAAAATGCTTTGGCCGTGAACATTTAATACAAACAGTAACAAAATGATCTGCTGTAGCAGTAGAGCGGTTTTCAATTGAGTGTCGTAAAACCAAAACCAAAGTAATATCTCTAGCCAATCACAAAGGACACAGGCAACCCAATGAACCAATCAAAATTAGAAGTAAAAACAAGCGGCTGACGGTAAAACGCGTCCGAACGAGTCAAGATTGGTTTTGGTTTTACTTCTGATTGGATGAGAAAGTGGCCCGAGCCAATCGTGTGGCGTAGTGATCCAAAACGACCAATAGTCCTTTTCACGGTTACCTTTGCTCATTTACACTACAATAAAATCTACAATCATGGACAAAAGCCTTGGGACAAATTTGCACTCTTGGTGCTTTTGCGCACACGCCAGACGCGAATACTACTTCACCCGCATAACCTCGCCCCCCGCCCCTTACAATGTTGAAAACTACTAGCTGGAATTTCTTCTGATTTTCAACATTGTATTGGGTGGGGAGGGGGAACAGTAACGTGTTTTTAAAAGGAAAGCAGCGCTTTTTTTAAACTTCAGTAGTAAAACACAGATAATAATAAGTGTCCCAAGGACTTTTGTCCACGACTGTAGCATGTATGTCAGGCAATTTCGGGCTATTTTGTAGTTTTAGCCCGAAATTACCTCGCATCCACGTTGGATTGCATTGTAATGCAAATGAGAAAAATTAACCGTGAAAAGGGCTTTTGCTTTTCGATAATTAACCGAGGACCGCTCTAAACTACACGAGAATAATGTTTTCAATCGCGAGCGTGTAAAGGAAAGACGAAAACGGCCTGCCGCCAGCATTGGGACGAGAACTTATGTATGTGGTCAGGACCTTGAAAATTCGATAGTCGTTTTCCTCAAACATAGGGGTAAATAATGTAAGAAATGACAGGGAATTGAATACAATTATTTATTTTACCTGAGAGCTGTAAGAAACAACTTCCTGAGTTTTCTACATTTGGATGTCAAGTAAACTATACATTCCGATAAAGCGGCGACATTTGAACTGGAAACAAGACAGAAAAAATGCGTCACTGTAAAGAGCTGATTACGCGACAAAAAAATGAAAACAATAATGATCAATAGCAATAATAGTTGCGTTATTTTATGTTCTTATGAAAATAGGTATAGGTAATCGAATGCGTGTGAAGTTAAGGACTTATACTACGAGTTGATATTTGAAAATTTTCTCCACATTTTTCGAGCCTTAAAGCAAGTGCAATTTGAAAGAAGTTTCTAATATCGCGATTACTGTACATCCTCAGTAGTTATTGGAGCTTTTGTATATTCGATAACCTATTTATTTTAAAGTTGTTTCGACAAAGGTTTGTCTCAAAGGTTTGTTTCAACAAATTTGGCTCGAAATTCCCGTCCCGTTTATAGGAAATCTCAGGCCTCTTACCACCATCCGATATCAAGTTCCTCTAGCAAAGGACAACCCTCAGCCAATGAAAGGATGCCTGCATCTGTAAGACTCTTGTTCCGCCACAGATCCAACGACACCAGCCCACTATACAACGAATAAGAATCGATTATTCCGAAAATCAATCAATCAATCGATCGATCGATCGATCAAACATCTTCGTAACTCTTCGGGTCAACTTCGGAAATATTCGTAATTCTTTAGGGAAAAAAAACCTCCGAGGCAAATTCGGCTGGCTTATCTTTTGAGTGTTAGCCTTTGAACGGACCGACAGACTCAACAAATAAATGCAAGTCAAAGGCGAATTACACGAATAGTTGTTTGTTTACAGTAAGAAGTTTCGAAAACCAGCTAACGCATGTCAAAAAGTTGTATGTGAAGTTGTTGGTGATTAGATTTGAACAGGATTTGAAAAAAAGCTGCAAGTGCGTTTGTTTGTTACTTGATTTACCGTGAGGTTCCGAAAACCAATACAAAGTCGCGAAAGCGTTACAGCACGGTTAATGCTCGCAGAAAAGATATGAAAAGCACCAAAAAGATCGTGGGAAATGCTAAGATAAGTAATTAAATTGCAAAGCGTGTAGTTACAACTGAACAACAACAACAACTGCATTGAAAATAACTGCCGGTATTGCCGAGCTTTTACCTGCAGTGTGTACCAAGTGAATGCATGACCTGGTCGCATTCCGCGAGGGAGTAGCAATCGCCAAGATTGAGATGCTGGAGGCTGTTAAATGACCTGTGAAAATAAGGCGATTATTTTTACTTGACGCCAATAACTTGCATAGATTTTAGTATGCCGACTTATGTAATTGTTTTAGTTTAAATCTGCTAGTCATTGAAAACTATAGCTATATCTTCTTCATAGAATCTACTAGGGTAAACTTGTCAACAACCGCACATTGCTACAATGAACGCTACTCACTATCTACAACAGAATAGGTAGTGAGTAGCCGCGCAGCCAATAAGAGGACGGCATTCGTGATAGAACGCTAGTGGATTTACACTAATTAACAATTAGACTATGAGCTCGAGATTTCTATGAGGTGATAGTTGATGAGGCCGCAGGCCGAATCAACTATCACCTCATAGAAATCGAGAGCGAATAATCTAATTGTTTTAGTAGAATTCTGACTGAAATAAATGCAAATAACGGTTGCTAATTATCTTTCTACGCATTATTGAACTTTACGCTTTAACAAAATCGCACGCATTGAATTGTCCTTGGTAAATTTGCTGTTGTTTACGCGCGCGCACCCGTCTTTTCAATAATTTCAAGTTTTTAAAGTCAAGAAACCACTGATGTCCTTCTTTTTGTCTTCTCAGGAATTTAATTATCCATTTACATCTAAACTTTCTTTCAAAACTTCGGAAAATGATAAAAACTTCGCATTTTGTGGATGGTCGACAGCCACTGCACTCTAATGGCTGATAGTATACGAGTAGCTCAGCCAATCAGATTACAACATTTGCATTAGTATACTAGTAGAATTCTACTAATGGCTGGTAGTGTTCAACGGCTCAGCCAATCAGATTACAGCGGTTGCATTAGTATACTAGTAGAATTCTACTAATATGTGTCAGACTATGTTTCGTCATGCAGAAGATCAGTTTCTGTACCTACTGAATCAGATTTCTCAGCAAATTGTCTGTGACCGCCGACACTCTATAAAGATTGAGTCTCTTGATATTTTTCAGGCTTTTAAGGTTGAAAAGCCCACCCTCGTTTAGTGACTGTGAATTGCAAGACTGCAAGTCAAGCTCTGTAGAAACAAAAGAGAGAGAGGAACATGGTCACATCAAGTGAGAAGTACCATGTTCTTAAAATGTTAATTTATTATACTGCTCTGTTTCTATTTATGTTTAATTTCAGAACACAAATGTCTGCAATATCTTTGCTGTCTTCGCTGTTTACATTTCGCTTTCACCTCCTAAAAACTAGATATTTGTGACAGGTAGAGTCGTCAACGGATACATGTAAGAAAAATTTGCACAAAAGGGAAGGTCGAGCTCAAGAAAACGTAATCGGTAAATATGCGCGGAAAAACCAGCGACCAAGCGCGGGAAAAAAACTCCTGAGCTAAATCACGTGTGGTTTTGGTTTAAGTTATGATTGGTTGGAAAAGTAACACCTTCACTCTGATTGGTTAAACTACAGCATTCTTGGCACCACCTGCTAAACTCGGAAAATGTTCAATGAGGGAGCGCTCTAAATTTGAAGGAATACAAACCTTCTAAATTCGGACAACATTGGCACAAAGACTTGATCACCTCATTGTCGACATACTGACAGCAGCTTAATCGTAAGCACACAAGCTTACCTCCACACGTTTCAAGAAATCTATGTAGACAAAGAGTGATTAATTTAGTACACTCTACAGGGGGTGGGAAGATAGGAGATATACGAGGTTGTTCTCCCTCCTGCTTGTTAGTCACCATGTTACCAACTCACACAATGTAAAATTCCGAAAGAAACGAATCCCATTCCCTCTAGATTAGTCGTTTCACGTAGTTACTTTCGGAGGTTCGTAACGTTTGGGAGCTCCGGCGAATTTTTGGTAGTTAAAACGTACACCGCATAAGTGACCCATAAGGGAAGATCGAACTTTTAACAAAATAGCGGAAAATGCGACAAAAAACGCAATACGTCAACAGAATTAGTCGGTGTACTTTGCAAAATAAGTAAATGTATGAAAGATCTTATATTTGAACTGCGGAGAAAGATATGAAGACATGATTGATCATCGCAGTTATATACACAACTTATTAAGTAGCTGTGAAATTAAAGCCTGAAAAAAACATTAGGCTTGAATTTATTATTACGAACTCACAAAGTGACCAGTACCCAGTTGGCTTGATAGCTCAGTTGGTAGAGCACTGTACCGGGTATCACAGAGGTCATGGGTTCAAATCCCGTTCAAGCCTGAATTTTTTTTCAGGATTTCACAACTGCTTACTGAGTTGTGCATAGAACTGCGATTATCAATCATGTCTTCTTAACATATACTCTGTCATTTGTTGGGGAGATTTGGCTCTCTTGACGAAATATTGGTCTCCTTTCGCAAATAGGGATGGCCAAGTTACGTGTGAGGTTAAAATAATGTTTGGGAGGTCTAGCTTTGTAAATTTACTAAAACCGTGCGTGGCGACTCTCGGGAGATTGTTTCATTCAGAACTTTAAACTCACAGTCACCGTGGTATACAGCGGTTTTCAATTGCGTGCCCTTAAACCAAAATTAAAGTACTCACTTAAACCAGTCACCAAGGACAGAAAATACAGTGAATGCTTCAAAATTCGAAGTAGTTACATGTAGCTGACGCGAAGCGCGGGAGAAACATGTGCGAGCGAGTCGCGATTGGTTTTGGTTTTACTTCTGATTGGATGAAAAAGTGGCGCGAGTTTTTTAGCCAATCGTGTAGCATAGTAATGCTAACCCAATATACTTTTCGACACTCAAATGACAACCGCCCTATTACATGTATAACTACAGCACCTGCACATCCCGTGAGAAGTGACAGCGTCGTACGGGCCTGACCAGGACAGGTCAAGCTTTTCTGTAGAAACACAACGCGTATAAAGAGAATCCAAAGTCTCGTTGCTGATCTGATAATGCAAAAGAACACTAAGTTGTCAGTGATGTTTGATGCGGTTGAAAAAATGATTACAAACATCTTCAAGTAATTGTACGAAGCACATTGTGGTACAAAAACGTGGACCCCTATCTGGGCCTCCCTTCTGGACCCCCAATTTTTTTTCCCCGGAGAATATGGGCCCCCTTTTTAAATAATTCAGTTGAAGTGTACGATGATGAAGTCACCTTATTTAAATCAGTACATAAACGATTAAAACGTTACATGACATTTTGACGACCTTATCAGTTATGACATCGTTGTTGAATGGGAAAGAAATTCACATCAGTTAGGTGACAAGAAAAATAGGAGGTCCAGAGAGGGGTCCAGAAAGTTGTCCAGAAGGGAATAAAGAAGTGGTCCAAGAGTTGGGTCCAGAAAGGGGTCGTAGTCCAGATAGGAATCTAGATAGGGGTCCAGAAAGAGGTCCAGAAGGGGATAAAGAAGGGGTTCAGGAGTTGGGTCCAGAAGGAGGTCCCCATTTTGTACCATCACACCACTGTACACACCTGACTCCAGTAAGGCTTCAAGTCCAACTCCTTGTACCAGACGAGGTCATAACAGTGAAGGAAAAACAGTCTGTGATATACAATGACAGAAATGAGTTGTACAAGTTCTCTCATACCAAAATCAAAGTTCAAAAACATCAAAGTTTATCATAACTCTACTCTGTGGAAAAAACATGTACAATGTCAGACCTTTGCGACAAATAAACTGGTTTCAGTCTTGCTGTTCTCTCAGAAAAAAAAAAAAAAAATGAAAAACACAGCATGCTTTCCCCGATTTTTTTTCTCGCTGTAAGTTGATCACATTGTCTGTATGAAGAAGATACACCAGTGATTGCAGACTTAGACTTAAAGGCCCTATAATCCATGAGCTTTATGGGTTTATTATTTCTTGGTTGTTCTTACCTGCAAGTAAATGAGGCTCTTGCAAGATCTTTCAACTCCAGGAATGAGAAGATATAGTGCATCAGTTCACTCTGTTGATGTAAAAGGAAAAAAAATAAATAAATAAAAATAAACGTTTTAAGTGAGGGGAGAAGACAGGGAATACCTGGAAATAAAGAGGGGGGAGGGGCAGGGGCAGGATGGGTTTTACAGAGGTGGGGAAAGAGAAGACAGGAGTTTGGATTTCCCTTTTAGGCTTTTATTAGTTCTAAGAACTGATACAGTGGAGAAATTTTTGTACGGATGTGTATCATCTCAGTTGGTAATAAGGGATTTATTACCAATTGACTCATGAGGTACTAAAATATAGATGCTACATCATTATACGCAATGATTTAAAAGGGCTAACATTTTGAGCAATTTACCAAAAAATTCAAAGTATATTTATTTATTGATAAAAGAAATTATCTGTGTGGGGAATTCTACTTTATGCATTAGAAAATCTAGCAAAATCTGTACGAAATGGACAGAGTTAACTAAAAAGAAACCTAAAGCTCTATTCCTTACAAAACCTGAAGGTTTTATAACTACAGTTGAACCCCTATTAAACGGTCACCCTCAGAGAAAGGGTTGGCCGCTTAATAGAGGTAGAAACAATAGACAAGCCATCATTGGGAATTTAACTGCTGGCTGCCTAATAGGGGTCGCTGTTAAATAGGTGGCCACTTAATAGGGGTTCGACTGTATTTAAATTCATTAAGAATTTCTTCCATTGATCAGGTTATCCCACAAAACTGAATCCTCACAACCAACCCTGCGAAGATGGCCTACCGGCAAAATATCAAAGTATCCATTGAGTGCTAAGTCCTCTTGACCATCAGTTTTCTTGTCAGAAAGAGAAAGCTGTCGAAATAAATTTGCCGTCAAGGACACTTCTGACTTGTTAGCTACTGCTGTAGGTTTCAATTCTTCACGCGTCTCATTGCTAGCTGGTTTTCCATACAAAATGACAGCATCAAGCTCAGTATAATAATCCAGATGGCTTTGATTGAACTCCAAGCGGATCAAACTGAAAAGGACAAGATAGCATTCGTAGTCAATAAGACCTGAAAGTTAAGACCTTAAACAATTCTTATAATTTCAGATGAAAGCTGAAGATTTCTGACAATGGTATCAAGAAAGGTTACAACATGTGCCAACCATACACNCTTGTTAACTTTGATTATCAAAATGTAAATTCTCTTTGTTCACGCCATCATTACATCAACAGCTTGTGCTAGTTCTGTGTATCTATTGAGTTATAAAAACACAATTTTTAACCAATCAGTGCACATATTTTCTTAGGACTGTTTTCTAAATAACTATCAAATCATGTGATGAAGTTCGTACAACCGTATTCTGTCAGAACGTATCAGACAAATTTCAAATCTTTCTTCATAAAATTACAGAAATTGATGAATATCTACATTCCAGCAGCATTGTGGTTTGATTTTGTATCAATTTCCATTATTTCTTGACTTTTAAACACACTAGTAAAATCCAAGATGCTGAATCCAGGATGAAGGATAATGACCTCATAACCTTAATTATAATAGAACGAGAACCCAGGGGAACAGTTCCATCTATCCGCCCCTTGTACCACGATGAGGGTATGAGTTAGCTTGTACATCCGAGGGTTAAGCTGCAAAATTGACAAGAACAACTTGTCAGAGAGATTCTCTTGGGGGTTGAAAATGAGTCCAGTGGCTGTCCATCCCCCATGCTATTTTGTTTTTCAAAATAATTATCCATGTACAGTAACATCATCATTTTTTTTCCAGGAGATCCCCTCCCTTTCTGCACAGATACTTACTTTGTTGGCTGCTTTGTACTTCTCAGGGGTGGGGAAAATTTTCTAGCACGAGGAGGACAATGTTGAGGCTCTCCAGACCACAAGGTAGTCCATCTATCAAAGACAGAACGATAGAAAATTATGTACACAAATCCAAATGGTTGTCTCTAGGGAACCAAAATTTATATTTTTTGTGTACAATAACTTGTCAACAATGTAGTACAGGGTATAATTTCGTGTGCAACTTCTTTTTAAAAAAATCTGAATTCTAACACCACTCATGTGGAATTGCCCAAATCTAAATTTTCCTTTATTTTCTAACTTAGCTATCTTTAGAAAGGCATGGGCAGTTTCCAAGTTTTTCTAAATCACTGTGACCTGTCATCATTTAAATGCCATGAGGAAACAATCTTGAATATTCATGATTATACACAAGTTTCTTCAGTCTTCCCATATGTACATTGTATAACTCTGGACATCTAGTCATACCGTTTATGGTTTATACTTTTCATCCAACAACGTTTTTTTTTTTTCAATCAGGTATATATACAAATTAGCAAATCACAACACTAACCTGTGTTTATTACAGCTACCTAGCTCCAGAGCTAAAATGCGAACCACTGCACCAGGATTATAAGTTTCAAGAATTTCAATTTTTGTAGGGTGTACAATGTCAGCAAACTGGAGATCTAAAAAATGACATGAAAACATATTACCATGATCATTATTTTTTCTGTACAGTTACTGTACACCCTCTAAATCAGTATCACTAGCAGTGTTTACTGCAAGTATTACTAACAAAGGCACGTCATTTATTATAATTTGGGAACTTCCAATTATATTGAAAGTTAAATATATGATCTACTACTGTGAACATTATTAAAATTGTTTTCAAAATTCAATTATTACCTGGTCCCAGTTGTTTGACGTCTGGCTAATGCTACCCACCAGATAAATTGCTATCCAGTGGATAAGTGTTAACAAAACAAATGACTTACATTAAATTTTGTATCCATTGGATAGTGATTTATCTGATGGATATAAGCGTTATCCATCTTTCAACAACCTGGGCCAGATACCGGTAAATAAGAAAGACATGGGAGGCATGGAGCCTAACGGTTAGCTTAGTGGATTTCAGAGCAAGTGGTCTGGGTTCAAGTCCTGGCTGCAACCACTGTCATTGCATTGTATTCTTGGACAAGACACTTTACTATAAAAGCGACTCTCTCTGCCCAGGTATATAAATATAGGTGCTGACAAATATTATACTGGGGGGTAGCCCTGGGATGGACTAGCATCCCACCCATGAGGAGGGTGATGGGGGTGGGGGGGGAGGGGGTAGAATGAATACTCTCAATTGCTTCATGCAGTGGAAACTGGGATAAGCTGTGGCCCAATAGACGGCTTGGCCCACAACAGAATAATATTATCACAGGAAAGATATTAATTAAATGGATCAACCAGTGGTATACAAATGTTGTATCAATTCTTAACTCACAAACAATATCCAGTGAACAACACTTCACCATCTTCCATTTAACACACTAGTCGAACGTTCTATGCAAGAATAAATTTTGTCCCTTGGGAACAAATTTTAAAAAAATGAGCCCTGGCATACTGTTTGCTTGCTGGAATAATCAGCCAGTCAGTCCTGTGCATATTCAAGATGCTTACAAATTTAAAATTTTTCTTCTTACCAACAAAATCCTGACTGATAAAATCCTTCTTCGACTTGCTAATAGGTGCTCGCGACGATGGAGCCATTAAATTCCACCATGGCCCATATGTTCTCTGAAAGGCAAGAAAACCATAATTTGTCCACAGTCAGAGTACAATGTGCATTCTCATTATTAATAATTCTTTCATATTATAATAATTTAATCATAATTTATTAGTTAATAACTGGTTTTTACAACAGGTTAGAAAGTAAACAAACAGAAAAAAGTCAGAAAAAATCAACCAGAAATGAAAATTTGCTTAAATGTTCAACAGGTGTAAAACCACATCAGAGTGTCACTTGGTTAAGGAAAGAAATGTAACATGATGCCCTGCAACTACCAAAATGTTTCCATAGCAACACGCTTAAGTCTCTCAAAAACAGCAGCAGATTTAGGGGAGCCAGAGCAGGAGATTTTCAGTGAAAAACTTTCTTGCAGCTTGCTCACATGTACATTCGAGGCGTCCCCCGACCCCCACCCCACCCCACCCACTCACACCTCACCAACTCCGTTTCCATGACTCCGCACAACTTCACCTTGTGCTCAAGTCTAGGTAATAATCTACTACTATAAGTAGCAAAGGATCTTTTATGCTTAAACTATCAAAGCAATGTTTCCTTCAAGCTTTGAAGGCCGAAGATCGTTTTAAATAAAACTACATTTACAGATCATAAACCATAAACTAATCATTTTCAATTATTGTGCTCACCAAAACAAAAGCTTGTGTAAAATCACCATAACCCGGGAAATTGTAACTTTCTCCAGCCAGATTTCCAGCTGTATAACTCCGTGAATTCCCTGCACCGTACTGGCTCGAAAAGGTAACCACTTTCTCCGCGAATTGCCTGCCAGGCTCCATGTGGGAGGCTTTTTCCACACATGAACAATATGTACCTGCCCTCAAGCCGCCATGTTTGATTCGGTTAAGGCATGGCTACCAAGCTTTTGGCCGGGCTACCAAGCCTTCTGGTTTACGAGACTTTTCCGGTTTCTCGACACTTCGGCCGAGATTGTGTCACTATTAAATCCCGTTTGCTTTGTCCTCATTCCATAAACAAATCTTTGGGTGGCTTGGCGACGAGGTTAATAGCTCCTCAGTTCCAGTAACTTTGGAGAATATCTCGATAAGGAGGAATACTAATGCAGAAGTAGGTCGCTTCACGCTGATGTTCAACGCCATACGTTCGGACATTGCTATCATTCAACCGTGAGCAATCCACGACGTGGCATTGAAGTCGTGTTTAAACACCACTAGTGCAAACAACGCCGTTGAGTGTTCACCATGTCTTCCAAAAGGATCTTCAACATAATCGTAGTGACTTCCACATTCTGGTTCTCGGTGACCGTGCTAGTTCTTATGTTTAATAGCGAAGTCACGCGGGAATCACTCACCATGTTGAACGCTCCTGTAGTTTTGGACAGCGAAAATCACCATTATATGAAAGGAGCTGGAGTGAATCCCTTACAGCCAGTCGATCATCAAAAGCACATTAAATATCCTTGGGAAAGAGACGCTTCTGAGAAACCCGCGAACAAAGATGGGCTTCTACTTGGAGCTGCGAAAGCTGTCAGTGTTTTAGCCCATGTACTTCCGAATAAAAAGGATCGAGATGTTTATGACGCTAGCTTAGCTAAACGAACCAATCCAGGTGGTTTAGGAGAGGCCGGTCAACCGGCGTATCTAACGTCTGAACAAGACAAAAAGCTTGCAGAGGAACGATTTGGCGATCACTCGTTCAACTGGGTCCTTAGCGATAAAATTTCATTGGATAGAACTTTAGAGGATGTAAGGGGCGACCGGTAAGTTGGCTATGTATATATTACCTAAGTTTAAATGCATGCCATTTTCAAAACAAAATTCTGTTTTTCTTCCTTTCAGCGTTTTTATTAAACATTAAAAGCTCAGCAGACGTTCTTTCGGCCGTGCACTTTCATTGCAAAATTAAAACATTCGATCTTCGATACACAAACTTGTAAGCTAATATATTTCGTGATGTTGCGATTGCGCCTTAATCAACCATGTCTATTTCGCCAGATTTTTTTTTTTTTTGCTTCTATGCATTCTTCAATTTTATTTTTAGCTTCATTCAATTAAAGATAGGTACACATGATAATCGTAGTTTAATAGTAACTTCATTTTAGTGTTAAGTCCTCAATGAACTTAGATTCTAAGAAAAAAAATGTTGATTGAGTGGTGTAAATTGCTCCAATTCAGTGGTGGTCAGTCTTAATAAGAAATTTCAAATTTGGTGCTCTGTGAGCTTTACATACTGAAAATTATCCTTGCACTTAAGTTTTGGATCTTAATTTTATGTAAAAATTCACATTANTATAATGGTCTACCCCTTAAGTTGGGAAAATCCCAGGGGGATTGAAATATATTACAAATACCCATGGGAGAAAATGACTAACCATTAATTATTAGAGTATCTCCCAGAGAAAGAGAAGGATCTCAAGAGTGAGACATACCCCAGGGAGAAGATGACCATCCACAGGGGGAGGGAGTAGCATGCTAAAAATACCCAGGAAGATTAGTGGATTACCTCAAGCTAGGAGAAGTGACGTGTGAAAAGAAAAAGCCTGAGATAATGGCTGACCTTGGGAAAAAAGGAATATTTTCTAGAAAACATTTTAAAATATGCCTGGCAGAAAGTGAATGACTAATGGGAGAATGACATTTTAACATATCTCTGGGAGAAAATCGTTAACCCCAAGAAGAATTCATTTGACTTATTCAAAATGTTGCTGGGAGAAAATTGATGACCCAAAGGGAATGTTGCATGACAGAAAAACCCTGGGATGTACTAGAAGATAACAAGGGGAGAGTGGGGGTTGCAGGATAAAATTCATCTGTCCCTGCAGAAGTTGCATACATGTAGTTCAAAGGGCCCCAGGGAGAAAGTGGATGATTCCTTTCTGACATGGCATAGGGTAACTTAGGTTGTCAATAGACCACTGTGGATATTCAGCTTGGCAGTCTAGAGGACATAAACAATGGAAATTGAATGACCATGTTTATTCATTTCTTTTGTTTGTGTCCTCTAGGCACTATCAAGCTGAATTTTAGTTTATTGAAAGTGGCCTATTGAAACAAGCTACATCTGCGTCTGCTTCAAAGAGCTGAGAGCTGCTGCCCCTGGATTCCCCCTTCCTTAATTGCAATTGATCAACGATGCAGTGTCACACTTTCTTTGCAGAGAGACTTGGCAAACCACTGGACGACCACGTGTCTACAATGAGTAAAGTCACAGTGATAAGGAACACCAAACGCGAGGGGCTGGTACGTGCACGCTTAAAGGGTGCCCATGCCGCCAAGGGTGAAGTTCTTACATTTCTTGACTCGCATTGCGAGGCGACCCCTGGCTGGGTGGAGCCTCTGTTGGGACGAATAGCAGAATCACGCTCCAATGTGGTGTGCCCAGCCATCGAGGTTATAAATGCCGATACGTTTGCGTACCAAGGATCTGCAAACGCTGACCAGAGGGGTGGGTTTGGCTGGGATTTGTTTTTTAAATGGAAAGGGATTCCCCCAGAAGAACAGAAGCTACGAAAGGATAGCACCGACCCAATCCGGTAAGAATGAAATTGAAGTGCTTGAGTTAATTTAGAATTGCATTTAGCATCATCTACGGGTATCTGTTTATCTTACTAAGTGTTATGTAGTAAGTGTCTACAAGCTGCTGGATGTAGCATTTTAGAACTTCAAACTAAATTTGCAGCCGCTATCAAAAGTTTACTTGAGTCTTGAAAAGTGCAACGAAGTGAAGAACTTGTGATTTCTTTTCGCACTTACAGCACGGCCGTTCTCTTATCTCTCTTCCCCACACAGGACTCCTACAATGGCGGGCGGGTTATTTTCCATCCACAGGCAGTATTTCTTCGATCTTGGTTCGTATGATGAAGAGATGGACATCTGGGGAGGAGAAAATCTCGAACTCTCCTTCAGGGTAAGATCTTACATGAATATAACATAATGTAACATAACTTGCAGAATTATGGATTCCTTTGGTCCATCGTAGGTTTCGCGGGATGCGGGATAAGAATGAAAATGAAGGCGGGATGTGGGATGACAGAAATTTTAATCGCGGGATGCGGGATGCGGGATGAAAATACTCCGGTGGGCGCGGGATAGCGATTTGACGGCAGGATACGGGAAATGGAAAGTCACACGAAGGTGAAAGCGAAATACTGATTTTATTTGGCTTACATGATGTACTTTGCCAGGTCTGGATGTGTGGAGGACGCCTGGAAATAGTGCCATGCTCACGTGTTGGTCACGTGTTCCGTAAGTACACAAGTCCATACAAATTCCCGGATGGAGTGGAGAAAACGCTCAACAAGAACTTCAATCGGCTGGCAGAAGTGTGGATGGACGAATACAAAGAGCTTTACTACAACAAGAAGCCGCAGGCACGAAACATGGAATACGGAGACATCAGCAAGCGTGTAGAGTTAAGAAAAAGGCTAGGTTGCAAGAGCTTTAAATGGTACATAGAAAATGTGTACCCGGATGTTCAGATGCCTGAGTTGAATCCGCCTGCTAGTGGTGAGGTGAGGAAAAACTTAATAAAACGCCGAATAGAGCGGATTTTATCTGAGTGTCGAAAAGTATTGGTTTTGCATCAACTACGCTACACGATTGGCTCAAAAAACTCCCGCCATTTTTCGTCCAATCAAAAGGAAAACAAAAACCAATCGTGACTCGCTCGCACTCGTTTTCCCGCGCTTTGCGTCAGTTACATGTAATTGCTTCGAGTTTTGATTGGTTCACTGGATTGACTGTGTCCTTTGTGATTGGCTAGAGTGATTAATTGGGTTTTGGTTTTACGGCACTCAATTGAAATCTGCTCAATAGCAAGTAAGAAGTTAAAGGAATTCCTGCTAACAGTATTGAAAGATGTCAAGTAAAACATGACGATTAAAACGTATAAGAATTTTGAAATGTCAGTCGATCACTCACAAGCACACAGCTCCATGTGACGTCATTTTGTAACTTAGCAACCTGGCAGAGGAAAACCGCGGGTGATTTTGTTGCAAGCTGACCCACGAAATTGCGGGCGCAATTTTGACAGACCAGATTCTGATCCGAAAATTACCCACATTTTGTCTTGCCGATATGTAGTTTGACTGGAATAAACAAGAACGTTTTGCGACTTTGTTTCTGTCTGTACAGGTTCGAAATCCTGCCAGTGGATACTGTTTGGATTCCCTTGGAGCTAAACCCGAGCACTCAGCCCGGATGGGAGTATATGTTTGTCACGGACAAGGGGGAAATCAGGTTTGTACATGAAGTTTAAATTCTCTTTTTGAATTTCGGTAGCATTTTCATACTTTCTGTAGTGACGGAGACGGAGAATTTCATGTACAGATCATAGCATTTCCTCTGCTTTAGTTGTGATGAGTTTTGTTTCTCTTATGGAGATGTAACTGATATTATGTCTACTCTTAACTTAACCAAATTAAACAAACAAGTCCTCAACGCGAACCTGCTTGTTATGGCGAGACCTTGAATACTAAGAAACATTCACTACGACTGATACAGCTTTCAATAAACCCCTTGTAATTCATTTTATTCCACTATTTCTTCGTTCTTAGATGCTGATTCTGACTTCAAGGGGCGAGTTGATTTTCGAGGAAGAAAATTGTCTGGACGTATCCAAGTCATATGCTGGTGCTCCTGTGGAGATTCTTAAATGTCACGGCATGGGCGGCAATCAGAAATGGGAACACGAGAAGAAAAGCGTGAGTTTGCACACCACAGCATTCTTGTGTCACTTTTGTGTGGTGGAACTTTAACGAGTGGTCGAGAGTTAGCGCTAGTTCAGACTTGCGCTGTCTTTTGGCTCGCGCTTACTGCATCCCTTCTGCTCAAATTTTCTTAAGAGTCAACAGGAGTTTTTGCTCGTTTGCCAGGCAAACGATGCCAACACTTCCTACCGAGCTTGGAACCATCATTCATTCCGCTTTCTGTAACACGAAGCGACTGGGAGTATTTCTACTCTCCCCTGGATGGGATGTTAGTCCATCGCCCCCCACCCCCCTCCCCAAATTCTCATCATTAAATTCACTTGCGTGGAGAGAGGCACTATGAGAGTAAAGTGTCTTGTCCAAGAACACAACGCAATGAAATGACCCCAGCCAGGGCTCAAACCCGGACCGCGGCTCGATCGCGAGTCCAGCGTGCTAACCATGAGGCAACCGCGCCTCCACACTTTGGCAGCGGTGAAATGAGCAAGAAATCTCGTCGACTTCCAGAACAAATTTGAGCGAAAAGAAAGAGACAAGGATGCAGTAATTTAGAACCTGGACGTAAATAATTTATGCTCCTTACTCAACGTAGTTTTTCTCTCCACTATTAGGGGATCATTAAGCATTCAAGTACCGGCCAGTGTTTGGACCGAGGAGCAGAAGGCAGCCAGTATGCTGTGATGAACCCTTGTGACGGACGAGATTCGCAGCGATGGGTATTTTCCAAGTACAAAGAAGCGTAACGAATAGTACACTGTCCCCCATCCTGACAGATTTGTTTACCGCTAAGAACAACCATAAATAATTATAAATAATTGTTAGTTAGTTGTTTATACGACCAAGTCGACTTATAGCCTAACATTATTTAGAGATCCGCCGAGCGCTTAGCTTTTTGAAATTTCCGATTCCTTTAACTTTTCGTGACACATTTATATTGCGAGTTAATCGTAGCAATAACAAAATGAGAAAAAGCTACTTAAGGTAGACGGTTTGCTCTGTCAGTTGCACTGTTATGAACATGTTAGAGTTCACACTGAAAATTCAGAAATTTAGTTTTGGGAATTTTGTGGTTGATGTGGCAATGCTGGCTGATATGTGGGCAGCATGACACAACACTCAGACTGCCAGAGTTAACGATGTGAGGTGTCTAAGCTGGCTTTTTTTTATCTGATCAGAAACTTTTTTCAATGCTCCGTACAATTGTAAAGCTCCAGAGCGCATTTCTATTAACTGTCGTAAATCTGAAGGCGACGTCAGGCACATTTGATCACGTGACTACCGATAATGAGATAACCAATCAGATTCTTGAAGAAAGCGTGGGAAAACCACAGGAATCTGCATGTGACACATTGCAAGTGCGGGAAAACGTGTCGCCGGTAGAAAGCGCGGGGAAGCGTACGTTGCGTAGTTAAGATCATTGAGATCATGGTTAGTTACTCAATATACAATTGCTCTTGCCTGGTATTCGAAAATCACTCGGACTAGAACAAACGAATTTATCCCGGTCGGGGCGGTCATAGAGAGGGAAACAAAACTCCCATAGTTTCGCCCTCGACGATTTACTAAATACTATTCGCGTCCAAGCTGTCACGCAATGAAACAAAATTTGGCTCTTCTTCGTATACTTTATTGTGAATCCCGAAAATGACGTTAAAACCCGCACTGCAGCGTAGACACGTGACGTCATGTTGGCTCATGATGTCACGTTAGACAGTCATGTTAGCTTCTGGTACAGACATTTGCGTGACACCAGGAACACAGCAGTTGCCTGACTGATCAGGTAAACTGTGGGAAAGTAGTGATATAAAATAATTTTTAAAATGGAAGAAAATAGATTTTGTAATGATTTTCATGTATCGATGCAAATATATACAGATTTTTAATTATTATAGATCATTTCATATGAAAAACGCCGTTGTTGTACATTTAAGATAACATGTTCACTGTTTTTTCTCTGTTTTTTGCAAATGCGCCTTATTGGAACTGACATTTTGTGAACATTACTCTTAAATTAATTCAGTTAGATCTGCATATATCCAAACGTATCTATTTAATTCCAGGTTGTCATTCCCATTATATATATATATCTAAAAACATGGGATCCCACAACTTTTATTTTGACTTTAATGGGCCATTTCGGAGTTGCCTTTGCCTCATTATCAAAACGAGTCTTTGTGCGAAACCATTTATAAGAAAATTTGTTCCGCCTATACGTTCATTTTCGTGCAAATTAAACTCATTTTCCCATGAAAGGTTTTACACAAGGGCTCGATTTGAAACAGAGGCATAATATCACTTGAGGTTAGAGATATTGTATCTCGTCAAGGCCATTTCAAGTCATATAATTTAAGTTAAAGGCGTTTAGGTATTAGTTCAGCGTTTCGAAAATGCAAAAACACAAGTTGCCTTTCTTGAGGACTCCAACGACAGAAGAATCCACGTTTCAATCACGGCTTTAAGAAAAGCCTTGGGCTCCAGGCCCCATAGTCAAAACTTCGGCGATGCACAAACATGCCTTCCGAGGGCCCTGATGACTTTAAACTACTGACTTGTGTAACGCGCGCTAGTAAAACAGTTTTAATGCCTGTTTCTACAAACGTAGGTAGGTTTATACAGTATATTGGACACAAATATTGCATATGTAAAGAAAGTAGGGGTGTATTTAGTATATTTAAGCTTGAGAGTATCTTTGCGACCGCATTCAGAAGCGAGTTAAGGTTTTTGTATGGAAATGTAATGAGCGTCTTTCTCCTTTTGGTTTATTGTGGTGCACAGGAGTCCGTGTTGGGGGCGTGACTGTGGCGTGACACGCGTGACTATAGTCCTGTGATCAGCCACTCATGTGAACTTTGGTGCCTCGTGGCGAACACAGACAAATTTGACGACACGTTGTAAAGCTAAAACCGAACTGAACATTAAAAGTTTTGTTGTAGTTTGAGCCCGAAGCCCTCTGATTTTATTGTCATCGGAACTCAACAAATACAACTGCTTGGAATACTGTTATGTTTCGAAAGATTCCTAATGCTGCTTTTGCAATTTCTTAGGATGAGTACAATCAGATATGATTTTGAAATGAAACTTCTCGGACGAAACTTCATATCTGTTTTTGTCATATAGAGAGATATTAAACCGTTAAAACTTGTTTAAAAGAATTTTGATGCCAAGTTGAAGTCGTTATTTTTCGCAACGAAAGTTCGTAGGTACTTCAACCTCTCCTCTCCAGGATCCATTCGGCTGTCGTTTCCAAGATGGCGGCCACGTTTGCGCGGCGTGCGGCCGCCATCTTGAATGTAGACGCCCGAGGGCATGTTATCAATAGGGCCAATTTCGATATATGAAAATTCAGCCTAACACAAAAGGCCTTAGCACGAGTCTCCGGGAAATAACTACAGGGTTTGTGTTGTTTATTCCGGGGAAAAGTTACAGAGTTAGTGGGGTTTATTCCCCGGGGCCTCGTGCTGAGGTCTATTGTTGTAGACTGAATTTTAATATATCGAAACTGGGCTATTAGTATAGGAGAGTCTTTTTGTATAGAGACTTAATCATTTTTATAGCGATTGGGAATAACCAACAGATTCATGATAATAAAGAACTCTTTTATTTGACTTGTTTAATTAGTTGTATTTCTGCATTTAAATTGCATTTGTATTTGGATAACCTAAATCAACACGTCAATAAGAGAGCATAGATATGCTGTTGATTCCGTTCAACTTATTTACTCTTAAAACGAGGAAAGTCATTTCGCAATTTCAGAGTTTGCTTTTTGTCTGTGTTTTCGAGACGAGACATGAAAATGAGTTTGATTTGGAACAGCTAATTGAAGAATGGAATAGAATAGATAACTTTATTTATACAGGGTAAGAAAAAAAACATCAGGCCTTTGTTCCGCTCAAAGCTCGAACGGACTCTAGTCCACCTCGCATTATTGTAGCCGTTCCGATCTTCCAGAATTGGCTACACATTCATGACAATAAGCATTTGCTTGAAACCCACTTTTCCCTGTGAAGTTCTTTCATCGGGCCTCGTTTCGAAACAAATAACATGACCGCTGTTGTCAAGGTTACGGAATTACAGGCGATAACTTGACGTACACGGCAGCAAACAACTATTCATGGGCCATCCATTGCAAATTACGTCTTAATACAATGGAAGGCGAGTATCACTATTGGAACAGTAAAAATATGTTTATCTACGTCCTCTTTTAGAGGGTTTTTCAAAGCTCTACGTCATATGAAGTCTTTTATAGTGAAAATGCTTAACGTTTAGTTTAAAATTAGAAAAAAATGAGCAATTTGTCTCTCTCCTCCGTTTTGAATAAAGATTACAAATTATCCTCTTTGAGAATGCCACGCGGTCAGTAAAGCCAGCAATATTCAAATTTATACTGATACAATTGATACGATTTTTTGCAACCTTTTGAATAAGATTATTTTTGCGACAAAGGACGAATAACAATTTGGTCTAAATTTGTCCCTCGCCCATAAAAAAAAAATTATTTGTGGTTTTTATGTTAAGCCGACCCGATTAATAATTGTTCTCAAGAATTTCTAGATCTATGGGCGAAATTCTGTTCAAATATGACAAATTTTCCCGTAGCCAAGGATTCGACTGCTCCTTTGCAAAGTCAACATCAGGAAACGAACAGCCAGATCTACTTCCAGCAGGCATATGGACGAGCGTACTGCAGTCACTCTTTGATCGACACCGTGTTCGGCATTTTAGTTCGTGTTTTTCGCTAAGCATCGACAGAAATGACAAACTTTTTCTTCTAGATTTTGCGCCATCCTCGAAACTCTTCGGGAAGTTCTGTTCACCCGGAAAATCTGTTGAATTCCAAGGTAATAAGAAGCTTTCTCTCGTTGGAGACAACGACAAATCGCTACCACTTGAATGCGCATCTTCCTCTTCTTTTCCTTCGCCGTGGCCAAACATCTCATCTTGAATTTCAATACTGTTGTCCAAACCTTCGTTCGTTTCCTCAGCAGAATAGTAGCTGTCGGGAATTCCACTCACTTCGTTACTTCTAACAGAAATTCCGCTTGCTGTTTCGAATCTTCCAACGTCGCTTTCATCCCGTGCTTCTGAAGCTGTCTCTTTTCGTCTCTGCGCTTTACTTGTTCCATTTCGTTCCAAATTTTTAGCCTCACTGACGTGGCTTTCAATTTCCGTGCCCGCTCGGCGTCTCTTGCTGAATGTCACCACTTCGCTTTTCAGGCTTTTTCGTCCTCGAAGAACCGCTATATGAGAATCGTTCTCACTCATATCAACCCTCGGGAAACAGCGAGGAAGCAGTATACCAAAAATTTGGCGATAGCCCTGACGAAATTCCTTGGTTCGCAGCGCGTAGATCAAGGGATTCATGGCGGAGTTTAAGAAACCCAGCCAGTAGGCCACAACGGAAAAGTGCTTGGACAATTCATGTCCTGCAAGGGTTGCGTAAATCGTGAGAACAGAAAACGGACTCCAGCAGGCCAAGAAAGCCGCCAGGATTATGAAAAGAGTTACGGTGATCCTTCTCTCGTTCAAGAAAGCCGATTTTTGGTCGTCGCTGAAGGAGTGGCTTTTGACGCGTTTGGTGTGAATCTTCACAGTACGGAAAATCTTTAAGTACGAGAAGTTCATTATTCCAAGCGGAATCACAAAGCCGCAAATTATGATAAACAGGCAGTTTGTTAACTCGCTGACCTCGCTATTACGGGGGACTTTGACAGAACACTGCGTACGGCCCGGAATGTGCTCGTACTCATTCCAGCCCAGAATCGGTGTCAACGCCGTCATTAGCGCCTGCACCCAAACCCAGGCGACTGCCATGATCGTCCTCTTTCTAGTGAATATTTTCCGCTTCGTGGGCTGCACAACCCCGATGTACTTGTGGATGCTAATTGCAGTCAGTGTCAAAATGGACGTCAGCAAAAAGAACACGTTTAGAAAACCGTTTAACTGGCACAGCGCATTGCTAAAAATCCACTCTTGAGTCACAGCTGTTATCATAGAGAACGGCATGCACAAGAGCGCCACGAAAATATCCGTCAAGCTTAAATTGACGATGAAAATGTGAGTTTCTGTGCGACGAAGCTCGCGTCGGCGATACACCACCGCGATAACTAGAAAATTTCCAATGATTGCGACCAACATGACAAGGAACAAGATTGTTGCTTCCAGAATTCCAATCCATGCCGGATCTATTTCATTACCAGAATGAGATACATTGGCCGCGGAATCTCTGGTGTTGTTGTTGGCCATGTTGACTACTCCTTTGTCAATGTAGTCCTGTAAATCGTGAAGATTTTGCACTTAATTTGCGTCACATGTCAACGTTAAATTAATTTTCGAGGCTGACACTTAACTGAACAGTCTATGTAGACGCAATTGGTCCTACACTCAGTCCCTTTTGTTCGCGTGACAACCAAGTAGTTTGAACACGCTACACAAGGGGAGTTTTGTTTGCGCTGTCGGCCTAATGTAATAACTTTTGTGTGGGATGAGCGTTCCACGAGTTGTCAATCAAATCTGTGTAAATACTCGATGAAAAGAGACCGG